GGTTACAGGGTTACAGAGGGAAAGATGGAAGGCGTTTCGATGGGTAGAAACGCGTAGAAACAAGGAGGAGCGTGGAGTGGAAAGGGAGAGACAGTATTAATTGACGAGGAGGACTCCCACGAGAAGAGTCCATAGACCATAATTCTTTCTTAATGTGACGCTTTCCTCTGCTTCTCCTGCTCTCGCACCCTTCTCGTTCCCGCGTAATCTCTTCTCACACTCGATGTTAGTGTTTTTCTCCTTGCTGTATCTATACATATATATATATAAGTAAACTGAAGAGACAGGGAGAAAAAGAGAGAGAGGGAGAGTGAGGCGGATCGAAGTGGACGATGACCAGATATTATGGCCACCCCATAAAAGCCTCTGCTCTCGGAGATTGAGCTCTCTCTTCTCCCCTCCTGTTTTCTCGCCGTTTATTATTGCACGTCCGGCCACCACGAGTGGATTAAGACGGAACGAGGATCGGAAGTCGCGCCGGCTCGGACCCTACGGTGTACCGGGGGTGTGATCGAGGAAACAAAGAGGAAATCTCGCGTTCTATTCTCCCAAGGTGGTGGAATGAGGAGAGATACACTGGTCGACAGATACGGAAAAGGCGAAACTATCGCCTGAGGGAAATATTATCGTGGTGGGCTTATCACCCTCGTGGATAGAGATTGATACGGATCTCTGATCTCTCTCTCTGTCTTCCTCTCTCGAGATGATTAATATTTTAACGAAGCGGAATTCTCCTTGGATAAATGAATTCAGCGGAGAATAGGAAAGAGTAGATTGAATCGTTCCCGAGTGATATCGATAACCTCCGTTAAGAGAGCTGATTTCACCCCTAATGACTAATTGGATAATGAATCGTTCGTGGAAGTTATAACGAAGACCTTTTGTGCCCGTGGAAAGGTGGTAGGGTGAGAAGCCTCGATTCTTCAGCGAGGAAAGTTCCGCGAGCCAATAACTATACCGGTGGAAATTCTTCAAAGTGGAGATTAATTGACAATTAACCGGTATTAATGCGGACAGGGTCGCGATTTGTGTTTCGCGCAAGTGGCACGATTTTCTCTCTCTCTCTCTAGGGAACACGGTGGACCTTAATCGCGGCGTCGTGTTCCCCTCGAGCGTCTCTCGTCTTCTCGTGTAAATTCGAAGGGATCAGGGAGAACTCGATAAAAAGAGCGCGGTGCTTTTTCTACGCCGGAGGCTTAGCCGCAAGGAGTGTCGAATCGACGGTAATTCCGTCCAATTAGGACACTCCCAATTAGAGGAGCCTTAGACTCGTTCCCCTCTTTCTCTGGCCCTCCTCGCCGTTTCTTCGTGATTTCTGCTACGGAGAGAAGCACGACAGCTCGGCGAGTCCTTGTGTCAAGGATCCGGGGGAAACGTCGTGTTTCCCTTAAATTTACGTCCTTTTCCTGGATTCGGCAATCCATTCTTACTAAGCTCTAGAGGTACCGAAAGATAAATTGTTCTTCGAGAATCTTAAAATCCTCGACCATTTTAGATTCTAAAACTATGGGACACTTACATTCTCCTCAAGTTCGCTCAGTATTACGGAATTCCAAAATTATTATTACGGGTAATGTGAGATCTATACTAATGAAAAAAAGTAATAACAGTGAAGAAATCAAGAGGGCGTCTTGCTATGAGCGTAGAATCCCGGTTTGCTCAAATCACAATACTAAGATCTATTTTTACCAAATCCTACCAGCACTAAGAAAAAATCACAAATGAACCAACGTCTCCAAAATCGTTTCTATTGCATTATCCTGGCTTGCTTCCAGTTTGATTCCTGCTTGGACCCACAAATTTTGTCTCGATTCCTGCAATAATGAACGAAAATACAAAGATCCATTGTCACCAAACTCTACCATCGCTAAGAAAAAGTCCCAAATAAATCAATATCTCCAATGTATCAATGATTCCAGAATTTTTTCTATTGCACAATTTCAGCTTGCTTCGGATTCCTGCTCGGACCCTCGATAGAATACAACCAAAACACAAATCTCCATTGTCGCCAATCTCTACCATCGCTTAGAAAAAAAAGTCCCAAGTAAATCAATCTCCCGAAATATCCCAGTAATTCGAAAATCGTTTCTGTTTGATGTTACAGGCCGCCGAGATCGAGAAGTCCCGATTGCCAGCGTTGAACCCGAGTTTCGCGAACTCGGGCAACACAGGCGGCACCACCACGGACGGCATCCTGTCATTATTGATGCCCGCCCCTCTCCGCGAGACCTTGTGGACGACGGTGGCCCTGTACCTCGGCTGGAGGCTTGTATCTCGTCTTCGATAGACGCGACGGTGTCGTCGTGTCGTCGTCAGGACGGGCGACCACGATGCCACGAGAAATCGAAGAACGATCATCGACGCTTGGAACGGCACCAGGGACATCCAGATGTCGTCAGCCGTTGGACCTCTAACTGGTCCTTCCAGAACGTCGGGGATACCTCTTCAGGCTTGCCACGCTACTTCTGGAGGTTCTTCCAAGATCGATGCCACGGCTAGGGGAATTGCACGGAGTGCCAGCATCTGGAAACCATCGGGCGATGCTGTAACAAAGGTCAGACGACCGATAAGGAGCCAGCAGGAACGGCTCCGTCTGGACGAATCCCGCTGGACGTCCTACCAACACGATCTACGTTGCGATGTATATGATTTTTCTATGTGTGCGTGTGTCTTGTCGCCGTACATGATCGAGAATGCACCTGTGCTCTCTCGTCAATGTTCGATTCACGGAGATTGTTCGTGCAGAGACGAGAATCGGGAGGACGAGGACGACGGACAAGAAGGTACAGATAGTGGTATCGACGACGAATACGAGGAGGATGGAAATTATCGCGAGCTCGTTGCTCGTCAAGGAGTCAGAGTTACCTGAGACTGAATTACCAATTTTTCATGTTTCCATTGATGTTAGCTGTGTTAGCATCGTTTCACGATGATCGATGTGCGAGAGAAAAAAAAGACCGCGATGTCGTCCAAGTGACTCTGACTCGACGACGATCGAAGGAAAGGGGAATCGTCAGAGAGGGTGGTATTTGTTTTTTCTGTTTTTTTCTTCATCGACGTCGCGTTGATTCGCGTACAAACCGTTGTTCCTTGCATCGAGCCCATCCTCTCCGTTGATCGTCGACAGGATACAATTTTACTCGATCGAATTTCAGAGGTGCATTCTCATTCGTGACGACGCGGGGAGGAACGTGCGTATTCGTCGAACAGAGAGACTGTTCGTTCGACCGTGCCCGATCGTTCGCCTTCCGGTGCCGTTTGCACGGGGATACGAGGTAAGAGAGAGAAATATGACGTTTCTCGTTTCACATTTCCATAGAGAATTTCGTGTAGATCGATCCGCGGAGGTGACGATCGGATCGTAACACGGGTCTAGGTGAGGGGGTGACGGGGAGCTAAGGACGAGATCCAAAGAGGACTTAACCCAATAATCAAATGATGATCTCATTACGGATATAAAATAAAGAAAATTAAATAAAGTAGTGTGATTACGGGAACGGGACAGGTAGGCGATGATTTTCTTTCTTTTCTTTTGTTTTCCTTGTTCTTGCTTTTCTTCGTTTCTTCTACTTTCTCCACGCGTTTATCTCTCTCTCTCTCTCTCTCTTTATTCTCCCGTTGCTCGTAAGATACCTCTCTGTCCCGTTCCCGTTGGTAGGAAGTATTTTGACGTGGCTTGTGTAGATAACGCGGTTACCTAGCCGATAACAGGCAGGGCAGAACTCTATCTGGGATATAACGACACACCGTGCCATGTCGTCTCGCGAACGGTTCGAAGATCCTCGAGTGACGAAAGAAAGATCCGGGAATGAATTGAACGAAACTTCAAACGTTTCACGCGAGAATCGGAGAATGTTTAGAAAGGTATGGAAGACAGGCGTGGGGGTCCGTGCTCGATCTATTTTCGACGAAAGAACGAGATCGGTGTGATCGGGGTCGCTAGACGTTCATGGTGGTCGGTCGAATCATTTGTACATAGAAAAAAGTATCGTCGAGGGGGAGTCTCTCTCTCAACATTGTGTATTCCAAAAACAAAAGAACAAAAAAAGTACTATAACGATGAGGATGATTGATGATAGTGACGAAGAACGCGAAGAGAATGAAACGAGAATAAGAATTTGTGCGATTTTGAGCGGGTAGGGAAACGGGCGAGGACACGTATGGTGAAAGAGGGGGGAGCAACGTATTGTAATTATATAGAGGATTTAACTAAAATAATTAAAATTCGGTAATAAGTCGACGTTTAAATAATTAAAGTAGATAATCGATAGGTCGAGGATCGCAGCATCTTAATTGGCTAGCTGCGAATCCCGTGGACAGTTTTCGAATGATCTCCGGTAGCTTAGCTCTTTGAGTGGCAGGCCTCTTCCATGAAGGACGCCTTTCATACGCCTCACGGGGCAAGGCTTTTCTCAACCCTTTGGCTACCCGTGTGGCGCACTCTGTTTTTTTTTTTTCTCCGTTATCTTTCATTTATCTTTCCCTTGGTCTTTACGCATTCTTTTTTCCTTTTCCGTTTGCACATCTCGGTGGCCTTCTCACCGACGATAATTACCTTTTCTTCTCGATCGGCGACCGCGCACAACTCGTCGCCCCGTCGTTTCAAATTCACCCTTTCGTTCGTTCTTTCTCACACTTCTCTTCTGCTTCTTTTCTTCATTTTTTCTCTCTCACTCGTCGATCTTCTTTTTAATCTTTAAATCGTTTTTGATCTCGTTTATTAGCGTGTATTTTAGGTCTTCGTTGTTTTGTGTTCGCGATTCCAGGCCGATTCCCGGTCGCTTTCTCGCCGCGACGGGAACGTTCGTTAGATGTTCGAAGAGGAATTTATAATTAAAGGATAGTTAGTGTCCCTGTTCGGGCCTCGGGAGTTTTTCCCCTCGCGAGTGTCGGAACGGGATGAAACCAAAATCATCATAAGGCTGTCGATACGATAGTGTATTCCCGTGGACCGTTCTATCTGTCTCTCTATCTGTCTCTGTCCCCCGAGTAAAGACTTCTCTGTTTTTATTTTTACTTTTTTTTTTGTTTTTCGTATCAATTAATTAATTCTTAATATTTCTTTTTTTTTTATCACGATTATCACTATTACTACGTTAATATTATTATTATTTTTTATTATTGTTTGTTTGCATTTTTCTCTTCCACCTTAAAGTAACAGATAAGATTTCGCGACGTACTCCGTCGAAGTATTCCAGTGTGTAGAAGTAAAATAGTATTTATTTATAGGTAAAACGCGTATTCGTCTATGTCTTAATAATGCCGTACGCGAGACTCACGTGTCGGCCATTATTCTCGCGTGGTAAATAATATACTGCCGTTCGTCCTAAACATGATACGCGCGCAAGAGTGTCTGTGTGTGCGAGTGTGATTAGGATGAAAGACAGAGGAATAACGAGGATAGAAGTGAGAGGAAACGCCATTATTAGTCCTACTCGAACGCGCTTCTTCGAGCAGGCGTATATTTTTTTCCCTCTGTCGCGAAGAGAAAAGTCAATACGCCCTTGTACAGAGAGAAAAAAATCGGAATTTTTAAAAAGTGAACGTGTCAGAGAGCGAGTGTACGCGTGTGTGTGAATGGTCCGGTCGATTATTTCTCCGTGGAAATATTCCGATCGTCGCGAAATCGGTCGATTTCTCAAAGGATGAACTTGTTCAACTTTCTCGTCGTCGCGTCGATCCGAATTATTCGACGGATGGAATTAACCATTAGGAGTCTCTTGATGTTCTCGTCGTAAAACAAGTAATTTTAAGGTATAGCGTATTTTTCACCGACTGCTTGTCGCCGGAGGTACTTCCGGGGAGCACAAGTTCTGTGATGAACCGATATCATTTCCCTTTCTATTCCGTTTCTATCTTTCACTTCTCATCTGTTCGCCTTGATTGTTTTTTTCCGTTCGATCGAGAGAATTCGTCGGATCGCGTTTGTTAAACGTACTTCGAAACAGTGGTTATTTCGAAAGACGGTTAAATCGTATCCCGCTCGATTCGGACGTGATTTTTATCGTTCGACCGGATTCCACCAGCGAAAAGTTTCGCCTCCTCGTTCGATGGATTATGTTAGCTCGTGTTGTAGTGTTCATCAGCAACTTGTCTCCGGTTTAGTAATCTCGTCGTTTATTCGAGAATCTCTTTCTCTTTAAGTTATTTCTCGCCGCTCGAGCCATCCTTCCCTCCTCTCTATTTACCCGAGGAGGGATGAACACGGTGGAGCGGACGGTATTTTCAAACAATTGTGATGTAATAAGATAGTAATTGCCATTGGCGTCGTGAAGAGAGGGGAGCCGGCGAAACAGGGCTCTCGTCGCGTTCGCGAAAAACTCTTTTATAATTAGCATTCCGACCAAAGGGAAAAGAAAAGAAAGAAAGAAAAGGAAGGCAGAATAAGTAACGGGAGGAATAGAATTCGAACGTGCATCGCGCGAGTGCGTGCATGTTCCTCGATTATACAGAGAGAGACGCGAGATGTTCCGTTTTACACAGAACCCCCTTTTGTTCTTTCCTTTTGCACCAACGCGCGGGTGAAACCGGCGCCCAGTGACGGCCTGTAAGTCCGCCCCCGCGGCTTTACTTAAAAGTAACGAAATCTCTATATAATTCTCTACCCAGTTTCACGCGTGAAACACGTCTTCAACGTTGACACGCGTGTCCGTTCTCTTTCCATTTTCGATTATTTCTCATTCGTTTCGTTCGCCTCGTCGATTTTTTCACCGTTTTTGTTTCGCGCGTAGAGTCCTACGTTACTTCGCGTAGTACGTAAGAGATACAGATGAATAAGGTAAGAAAACATAGAGCACCGTGAAATTAACGAACAAATTGTATGGAAACGTTGCCCCAGTTTATATGTAGTTTCGCGCCGAAGTAAAGTGGAAAAAAAAAAACGAAGCAACATATATAGAAACCGAGGGAAACGCGCGATTAAGTAGGTAAACGAAATAGAATGTTATAGTACTGCACCCGGTCGAGAGCAAACGATAAGCCAATCAAGCATATGGGATTAAGATAAAACGCGACCACAGACAAAAAAAAAAAGAATATATAAAGAAGATACGCATGTACATAGCTATGCTTGTTCGTGGGGCCGTAAAGTACCATAACCCGTGTCTATACGATTGCTATTGCCCCGACCACCCTTTTCTCCCTTCTGTTTTTTTTTTCGTTTCTTCTTTTCCCAAATATTTCCCTTTTTTCATTCACGATGTCCTTCCCACCTGTCGTCAGTTTCGTTTTTCTTCTCTTTTCTTTTTTTTTACCACTGTTCGGTTTTATCAAACTTTACCACGCTTT